GTCTTTTAGCCATTGTTAGAGAGATCCTTCATTTATTTAATTAATAACATATTGGAGTTTTGCGTTCCTTTATTATTATTTAGTTGCACCTTTAATAACATATCGGACTCATGTTGAATAAGTCCAACTCGCACGAAAATGTGCTATTTATTGTTGAATAACAGTATTAGTATAACTTAACGAAAATCGTAATACTACAGTATGTACAAATGCCGCAACGACGATAGACATGATATCAGTAATATCTGTTTCTATCACAATGTTTGATATTCTCACATAACTGCTGTCTCTGATACTAACATACTCTAAAGAGTCCGTCAATTATGCCGTACTGGTCATATTCAGTTGAAGCTGCCCACGATTCATCTTGAAATCCATAAAATATATCCAGCGTCGGTTCATAGTATGGTGCATCTATAAGATTAGATTCGTCCGTAAGGAATGGGTCTGTGATATAAGGATTACATAAATCGTTGTTATGATCAGGCATGTTTTTAAGTGCGTCTTTAGGGTTATTATTGCTGTCATTAGCGTCCTTTTTGGCTGAACCTTTCGGTTGTTTTTTATTTCTTCTTTTACTAATCTTTTTAGTTTCTGCGTGTCGAAGCGTTTCCGGAGTATTGCACCTCCAAATTTGTGCACCTTTCTTTGAACGATATTGTAAGCTCTTACGCTCACTTTTATGGGTTCCTTCCAGGCGTGTCGATAGATCAATGTATCTTTTCTTCTGTCCGCTATCCATCTGCTTCCAAAGCTTTGTGGCTATCAAGCTTATCACTTTTCCGTTTATAAGTTTGCCAGCTTGATTGATTTCATGAAGATATCGAGTAAGCGCTTTACGAAAAATCATGAATGAGTTCATTGGTCTCTTTGTTGGTGAGATAACGCTGCCGACAAGTTGGTCGAATGTATATTGAGGGAGTTGTCTTCTGAAGAGATTACACACCATTCTGTCTGCCAGTTGGCACGACTCACAAGGCCCCTGATCTTGATGCTTGCAAAATGGCAAGAACATTTCTGTTTGCTGCAACGGGCCGTCTAATGAATTGAAAGACATCTTGTCGATAACAGCGATTAAGAAAACGTTTGACAAAAGCCCGACCAGTCTTAACTATGGGAAACCGGTTGTATATATACAGATAGTGTCAGTGTTCCTTCTGATTATATAGGTCATGCCTAATTTAGAAGTACATATTGCCATTGCAGAAAAACAAAAAGGCCGTGCTATTGTACGGGGCATTCTAAAATACATTGAAATCTGTTCCATATTGGGAAAGTATGTGATTTTCATTGGATACTGGCAATACATTGCAATGATGATACTGGTAATACAATACATTGCAATATACATTGCAATATACATTGCCAATGCATTGCAATGAGGATGTGCCAATGCATTGCAATAGATCAATGTAAACCCCTGTCACACAAGTCTCAATTTCTTAGTTTTCGTTTCAGACATTAATACCAATGTTGACTATTGTTTCCTTTCCCTTATCGAATGACTAAACAGTATTAATATGCGGGTTGAACAGAATCGTAATCTATTAAATGCTGCCAACGGCAAAATCGACGAATGGCTTTACACATTCGTGAAAATAATGACCAACCTGACACGAACACATTTCTTCAGATAATGTAATCATCCCAGAAAAGTTAGTGCGAGCTTTTCCCACGCTTCATACATAAATTCATCTAGTGACACAGTGTATTCGTAGTCTAGAATCAATCAGAAAGAAATGAAATTGTTAGAGCGTAGTGTTCGGTGCGTTGTCTATAGGCCAGAGTCATCTGTAAGAAATACATCTGTAGTACCGATCTATGTCTTTATGTGCATCTTCAGAATTATTATTGCATCCATGGCATTCATTTTGCTATGTAGCTATCTAGTTATCACGTCACGTTTCGTTTATTGGTTTGCCAATTCGCCTGATCACGAATTATGTTGGCGACGAATTCTTCTACTGGATTATTTATGGACATACCACACCTCGGCAATCTTCGCAAATCTCCTGATCGCGTGATGATGGTAGACATTGTAATTGTCGTTGCCCCAACTAATTAATTGGAAGACACCTTTGTTAATAACAAGTTAGTAAAAACGTTTGGACAAGTTTAATCGGTTCTATAAGTAGGGTCATGTGTCCTTTGTTGTATACATCATACCTTAATATGGAAAGTCATATGCAAAGGTACAATCGGTGTTAAAAACAAGGCACGACACTACAAAATCTAAGGACATCTAATCATGCTAAACTTGATCAATGCACTTTCTGCACAAATACGATAATTTGGGTGCGAAAATTATAACACGGTCGATTGAAGTCTGCATAACGGGATAATTTCTTAGCGAACTGGTCAAATGGTATTTATTCATCGAATGGCACTACGCTCTATTCCAGTAACGAAATTAGCAAGCGATCGGTCCAAAATGTCAACATCAATGCGAATGATAGATAGCATCCGAAATTCATTCTCCAGCAATACCATCTTTTACAGAAAACAAATACCTTAGGAGAAACCAAGTGCACTATTCAAATTCCCTAAAGACTGCTAAAAGGGTTCACCGGGAATGTCGAGGCCATGAAGGTGGACTTGAGACGCGAGAGGAAAAAAAGTAAGACACAAAACGGGGGAGGTATCGGAAGCTAGATTTCAAAACAATGTTGGTTATAGCATGTAAAAAGCGTTCTCCGATACGAACATTGCACAAGTTATATATAATAGTTTTATTGGATATGGATATGTGTCAACTCCCCATATATTTACTATTAATTACCATTTATCAGAGTTGTCGCTATGTAATAAAACGCGCCCGTATCATTTAACGGATCGTTCAATTGCTCGATTACAGTAAGCTCGCCATCGATCTCAGCCTTATCATCTAACTAGCAACTCATTGTTCATTTTGTATTATATACAAAAAACCAATTAGGTTCACTATAACTCACACCTCTCCTCAATTCCTGGATCAGAGGGAGGTATGTGAGTCCTTGGAGGAGGAGTGACTGTTTTAACCTTGGTCACAGTCTTAGTCTCAGTCTCGGTCTCAGTCTCAGTCTCAGTCTTAATCTCGTGCACCGTTTCTGTGGTAGTCACCGTGGCGGTTATGATTCTCGTTACAGGCGTCTTGACGGTAACGGTAGTTGGAACGGTTTTAGTCCTGTATTCAGTTTTGATTTCGGTCTCGTAATCGGTTGTGGTTGTCGTCTTGTATTCAGTTTCGATTTCGGTCTCGTAATCGGTTGTGGTTGTCGTCACGGTCTTAGTTACGGTTTCCGTCTCCCATCCAGCAGCCGGCGTGGCTTGAAGTATGAGCACAAGAATAGGAAGCAAGATAAAAATGTATATGATGAACTTCATTTTTGGGAGAATGTCTGGAGTCTTGGTTTAAGGGATAATATAATAGAGATATTGTTCAAGTATTTGATGATGAAGACAAACTAGATGATATAGAAGTTAATATGTTATTCGTTTTGTAAAAATCAAAAGAAAGGTTAAATTACAATCTCTTGTATAGTATTTTGTATTAGATCAAACGTGGCAATCTGAGAAGGGAACTCCCTCCTCGTCCCTCTTAATCCTTATATCATTTCTGCATATTTTTTGTATATGTAAACTCTACTTGCCGCTGCATTCAATGGGATCTAATACCATATGTAGATAAGACTTGGCACTTTCTAATAATAGTAACATAAAGATGAATATGCAGGACGATGAAGAAAAAGGGATGGGATGCGGGTTGTTAGTTACGAATTATAAATATGGTAGTTTAATAATGAATTGATGCCGTCGTGATGATTGTCCGAAAAACTAGGGTTCTTCCCGTTCCATTCATACTTGTTAACTGTCACATAGTCCTTGTTGGATCAAGGATCCGGAATATTCTATTTCTATTAATAACGTACTCGAAATAACACACGACTTCAGCCCGTTATTTTGCACGTGATTACAGATGTACTCAAGATCCAACGTTGTTGTAGTGGTTAGAATTTTGTCGCCAACGAAAAACGAAGCGGACATCATTAAGCTAGCAATACGAAGAGTGCAGCGACGACAATAAATAGT